GATGAGGACACCAAAAATTATGCCGACCAATTGACGGAGGAATTTTGCCAGTATATAATCACCGAAGAATGAGGCTATCGGCAGGTCAATGCCAACATTGAGAACATTTATAAAAATCTTCGGGGTTATGCTAGTGAGGAAATAAATGACCCTATAACCAACCTAACTAATTTTACCCGTTTAGAAACTACCCCTAACCGTTTTATCTTAACTTACGAGAACGGACAAAATATAAGTCTCATCCGAGTTCGAACCGAGAACGAGCAAGGATTAAGTGTCATTAGTCCCGAATTAAAATTAAACTGACCTGACCACGGATTTACTACCGAACCCGAAATAACCATCACTAAATAACATGACTAGCCTCAATCCTAACTACATAATTACCAGACGGGATATTAATGTTAATCCCCATTTATGGACGGACAAATTTAGCCTGGTGCCTTTTATTGACCCTAACGGCAAACCTTACTGGACCAAAGATTATAATTTTATTCCTAACGATAAGAGATATAATGAAGTTGTCAAGTGAATAAAGAATACCGAATTTCCCGAGTATAATTGCCGAATAGTCTGAACAGCTAACAACGAAATCGAAATCGTGACCAAAAATGCTTTCGGACCCTTAATAGCCCTGGAACAACAAGAAGCCCCAATCCGCAAAAGAATCCGGAAAAAAATCCAGCAGGAAATTAATAATCCGAGTGTGGAGGCTGCTGACTACCTGGAAGAATTAAAGGCAGGTTTAAAACTTCGCACTTATGAGGAGTTTTGTAATTTTTTTGCTAACCAGTTATATATCGAGGAATTACACGAATGATACCCGTTAGCCGTGAAAAAGTTCGAGTTGAGTGAGGAAGAAAATCAAACCTTTAATTACGATTTTACTCGTCCCGATTTAGTTATTATTTGGAGAAAGGAATTATACTTTATCACCTCTTTTACTTACATTAACAACAAACGATTATCGGTAGAACTTCGAGCTAAAAGATGTTTACTTTTTAAATATTACTGAAACTGGATGAAAAGTCAAGGTTGAGGGACAATTGATAAAGCCCCTGTGGTTAACGACCCCGACCACCGAATGCATTATGATTTTTGTGGAGATTTAGGCATTAAAAAAATCTACCAGCAAGCCTTTACTAGTTATCAGCCCAAATTTGCTCTTTACAAATCAGAAAACGAGGGAGTGAGAAAGGTATGATGGTTTAAAAAAGGTGGTTTTGAAGCCCCGATGGATGTTAAGCTGGTTAAAGTTTGAAATAAAAATGTTATTTTGGGAGGAAATGTGGAAATGGTTCTTTCTCTTTTGGGAAATTTAGCCACCTTAAATATTAAAGGAGCCTTAACCAATTTAATCCGAGAATTAACCAAACAAAGATATTTCTTGACAGTGGGACCCGACGAACTTCCTTTATCTTCGACAGCTCTTTGGAAGTCCCTTATTTCCTCTCTTTCCTCGAATGAAGAAGATGAAGGAACTTATTCAGTTTCGGGCCCCGCCAACCCTTCCTTGGGTGATTATGTTGGTATTAAACACTGTATACCCTTGTGGCATGATTTTTCCAAAAAAGAAGAAGTTCTATTTATCAAAAACCCCAAATTAACGGAAATGTTTCGGAAACAACCCCACCTGCTCGACCACACCACCTTCCAATTTTACCTTTTTAATAAAATTGAAATGAGTGCCAATGCTCGGTATTTGGGAATTATCGAAAAATGTGGGACTTGTCAAAAAGTAGTTAACAGTAAAACCGACCCTTGCCGATGTGAACCCGACCAGCAGCAGTTCCAGTTCGTTTTGCCTTACAAACTTTATATTAACTTTTCTCCTGGTAATCTGTATTATCGGTGAGAGTTCCAGCATATAGCCGTCAAGTGTGAAATCAGCACCGAAGCCATTTTTGAAGATTACGAAAATCCCCTCCGTTATATGTCTTATGTCAAAGTTAAGGCCCAAGTTCCTGCCTGGATAGCAGCAACAGTAGGCAATTGAGGGGCCGAAACTGATTTTAACCTAGATAAAGCCAATACCAAAGAAGAAACCCATATCGGAGAAGCCCCCGCCGAACAAGAAGCCCAAACCGACCGAATGTTTAAAAGCACTTTTCGGCAATTTTTAGACAAAAGCATTGAGCCCAGTATGTTTAATGCTAATACTATCGATTTTCATTATTCCTTGGGAGAATTTTTTAATCGGATGACCGATCCTATTCTTTTTTACCGAGTAGAACACAGTGAATTATTAGCCAATCGTCTCAATTGAGCCAACAACAAAAACAAATTGGCTGCTAATGGCTTATCCGTCCAATGACATAAATATGCTAACCTCGGGCTGAAAAAAGGCTATTGGAAATGAGGAGAAGTTTATTTAGAAAGTGATGTGGATAATTTCTTTACTAACCTCATGAATAAAGGTTTTTGACTAACGGGAGGAGAAAAGTTTGAGCAACCCGATTTCAA